GCAGAAGACCAACGAACACAGTGTGTCCAGAATTGGAAGAAAATATCGAAAGGAAGAATAGCAAATGGAAACAACTAAAAAGATTACTGAGGACAGAATTGGGTGTGGGGGCGTATCTTACTCCACGAGGGGTAATAGACGTAAGTAGGCGTCCTATACGTTGGATTCGGGCCTAGGACCTTTGGTCTCTCGTGGACTCTGATGGTCGCGCAACATCGTGAATTGGTTGAAGCTAGACGTTAGTACCGTTAGATACCGGCTAGTGGTTTGGAATTTAAGCTTTTTTGAGAGACCATAGGTCCTGGGTTAAATTCCTGCGTCTGGGGTTGCAAGTGCGCACTGCTGAGGAGTCCCATACTAGGACGAGTCGGTCTTCCAATGCTTCCAGGCCTTCAGTGGTGGTCTGACATTGATCGGTTCATGATTTCAATAATATTTTAAATGTTTGTTTAAGACTTAACAATCACATTTATTCATTGACAATATACATAAATGCTACACAAACAATTCAGTATACCACCAAATAACTCATAAAACTGTATGACAATTTGATATACATGTGACCACTAGTAGGAGGAATAGAGTGCACATCTCTAAGACCAAAAAATGTCATAAGACTATAAGTTTATCATATTTATAATTACTAGCTAGTTAAAATTGAAGTCCCATACACTTTAAAATGACGTATAATTGATTTCATGTAATCCATGATTTTTATATCCACCTATCTGTTTATAACTTTCTACTTGCAACTGTTGATGTTCAAATAACTGATGGTAGGTAAAAAATTTTGATTAAGAGTGATCAATAAGAGTTCCTGTTTTTATTTTCAGTTACATATAAAATGATGCAGTAGAAATAGCTTATAAAGTAAATGGGATTGATGATTGTGATTTTCACCACTTCAGCCATAAACGTAACTCCCAATGGTAATATTTTCTTAAGAGTCAGAACAAAGAATTGTGGATAATAATATCGATTCGTTTTATTTCATCAGGATCTCATTGGGTGATGCATACAGCCTATAATATTATAAAATCAAAATTATTATAAAGTTAACATACTGATAAGAAGTGAAGTGACGATTCGAATAAATGTAATGAGATTGAAAACATGTAAAGGCTGTTTTAAATAGATATAATAGGTACGAGGAGATTCTAGATCATCAGACATAGTAGTAAGATCGAAAAAATTAAGTGATACGTAATGAAATAGTTGAACAAAAATCAATAGTAATTCAGAATAAAATGAGTCAGTCAGATCTGTTGATTCTTGTTACTCAGCATAATAGGTGTATGTCAGTTCTTAGTCCAGATGTCCTGAGTAATATGTAAAGGATGTGATATAATAGGATTACTGGTTTGAAGTTATTATTCTATAAAATTGTTCACGATATCGAAGTCAATAACCATGATCAACACTTTACCCTCTCCCGAAAAGGAGCACCTATCAAGTGTTAGCCTTTTACTTTTGCGAGGCTAGGTATATGTATGATAACCAAACGATAATGTATCACTCGATATAAAACACTCTTGGACTAACTGGTTCACGTTATCAAAGTCATAGGAGGCCATAACGATGGTTCACACGAAGAATATTCAAGAAGGTCATGAACCACTTGCTAAATTCCACTAACCAGTCTTTTTCTCACTTCATCCAAGGCAGCTCGGTGAATAAATGAAAGCAACAACTCATGAGAGCGATGCTTGAATAACCATGATTGCCACCTAATGTGATGACTAATAAAGCCTCCAGCCTCTTACAACCGATTTGAAACAACTATAAGTTCGGTGGTATACAGGCCTCCTGAGTTCCATTTGTATCCATTTGTTTAAGGAATTGAGGAGCGCCCATCCTACAGCAAAATCATATCTCCTTAAAAAAATATGGACATCTGTTTAAAAAATCAATATTTGCCCCCTCTCTACACTTAAGAAATCATATTGTTTACACACCTTAAGCATGTATTATCGTAAAATTTTGTAACCTGAGTCGTTTCATTTTTATGCCAATTAATATGGTATGTTTGTACATACTATTAAATATGATTGAAACGTATAATCTACATGCTAATTTCATGAAAATCGATCCTATACCAATTTTCAATGTTCACAATATACAATTTTATTTCTGAAAATCGGAACTCATAAAATTTTTCAACCATTTTGTGTATAGTGTTGTAATAAAATGTTATTCAACTGTTATCAATAAGGGTTAGTTTTTAAAAAAAAATGTTACTATACTTTCATTACGTTTTTTTTAGTTTTTAAAATCGGATTTCTTAATAACTGTTTACTTTTTGATTCATGTGATTGATCATTGTTGTTTTGTATTTAATAAAGAACAACTATGCTGCTAGGTTTCGCATATTTTTGTTTCATTCTTATTTATTCTTAACGAGTAAACTTACATTCTCCTACACAGTTAAGCTCAACTCATGTCGATTTCACTGAGTACTAATTATCTTTTGGATTAACCAACTTTAGTTTAACTTCGGTTTATTTTCAATGAGACCGAAATTTCAGCAGTCTATAGTTTAGCGGTAATAATATACAATATATGTAACAATATAATTTTGTCAAGTGACTTACATTACTTCTTTCAAACTTTATGTCAAATAGCAATTTCCACTCGATTGTTTAACTAGCTCTCGTCAGTACTCCTATGACTTATATGATAGGATATATAAATTTGTATTTTGTCGTTTAAATTCATCAACTATGTCTCAAGATCTTTTGTTGCACATAAGAAACTAGTACAAAGTGTGTGCCTTCCCTCACAAGCATCAGGATATCAGTACAATGACTTAAATGGTTTAGACTAGTCAGTATAGTTTGGCTTTCTATTATCTCAACTCTGATATAAATTACACATAATTTCTTTTACCTTACAGTTTATAAAAAACAGACGAGTTATATGGATAAAACGATTGAATATAGTAATATTCTGTTATAAGCAGTTACCAAATGTTAAGCAAATGAGACATAAATGTTTTCTCTACAAACATATAACTGTGAAATGTTACTCTTTAACTGATAATAAAAATAATGTCCTAACCGATCATGCTTCTTCAATGGATTATTGTTTTTTTAATTAGAAAAATATTTGATTACTAAATTAATAAATTCACTTATCAAAACAGGTCGCAATTGTTTATCGGTTAAAACGTAAACGATTTGATTATAGTGAGACGAAGTAGTAGTGTAGTGAAGAAGAACACGAGTGGGGAAAATCGAGTGTATTTGAGCACAAATTTACAGAAAATCTCACTAAAATCTGAGAACCATATTGAAAATAGTTAATTTGCAAAATATTAATCTATTGTCTCAAACTTGACTGTTCCTTTTGCAGATATCAGTCCATTGTCTCAGATTTTATTGTTCATACATTTTCATACCAACTGCTTTCTGTTCCTGTTCTTTCCTTCTTGATCTTCTACTGAAATATATTTCGTCCCTGACCAGCGTTATATACTACTTATGTGGATATGAATAGCTCACACCACAGTAGTATTAGTTAAAGGTTAAATTAAAAGTTCATAAATCATTATAGATTTCAATGCTATAGTAGAATGACGATTAAAACTTAATCTTAATTATTTCCAATTAGACCAAAATAAAGTCCTAGATTATGCTTCATTAAAAAATTGTTTTCTAGTAAATTATCATGTCACCTCTTAATGAAAAATTCATCATCGTCAACGAATTCAATTCATTTAGCTTCTATAAAAATGAACAGAGTAAATCACTAACCACCACGTATTTCGACGAACGACTAAACGAAATCGTAGCAACAGTCCATGAAGTTATTGACCGTTGGTCTGAGGCACATAAGTTGATGCAGAGTACCTGGTTAGGGTCCGCGTGATAACCGAGATTAGTGGTTGGAGAATTCGGACGAAATGACTCAGGATCATTTGTTAACATGTGAGTCTATCATGAATACGTTACATAACTAAGTTTTATAAACCAATTGGTTTATTTAAAATAAATGACTTGATGTATAACAAATCATATTTACTTGTTATACAAAATATATATCATGCAATAGGGCATCAAGAAAACTCCACAGAAACTATTATGTTTATTTGGAAGTACCTTCACCTGGTGGTATAATAGGAATGAGAAAAATTAAAGGTCTAGAATATCAAAAATTGTACTAATGTGTGAATTGATCGACTATTTATAAGTAGACTCTTACATTCTCTTGTTGACCGTTTATTGTAACAATCATATGCTCATTGATTTACACGTAGTGACCTTAAAAATAGCACAAATATTAATTGTTAAATAGGTAAGTAAATAAACTTTGTTGTTCACCTAGATTTGTTGTATAAAGTCTGTATCGGATTTATTAGACTGACCAGTCAAATTGATTTTTGAGTAGAGGAACATATTATGTAGACAGCAGTTAAAAATAAAAGAAGCAATAAAAATGCGCAAAAAGTATTTTCAGAAGTGAAATATCGTTGTAATATTTAAGTTTGACTGTTTTTCAAAAATTAAGGAAGGAAATACTCATCTGAATGGAGGTGACAACAATCAGTAATTGTAACTCATTAGGAAAGTACGGGTTTATATTCTTTGTCAACGTTGGACATACTAACTTGATGTTTAATCTGATGTAGATATAATAGGTGTTGAACAGGGGATTCAACGGTGAGAAATGTAATATTAAGACCATTGTTATGAAGGTCCGTTAATGAATGTCAAGCATTTAGACAATCGTTGGTAAGATTGACCCTCTATACTGTTTTCTTTTAATGACTTAATATGGATAAAATAAACAACAATATGTATTTTTGCATATTACTATCGTTATCAATGATAAATCAGTCAAACTTCCTTACTTGTTTTCCAGTCTGAAACCAACCTAAACACGATCAAAAGCCGTATCTATAAAATTTCTGTTGTACATCAGCATAGATACTTCCTTTTCATTTTCTTTTTAACTTTTGAATACGTATTCATTACTCTTCAATTATTTTTTCTCATTTTTAGACTTGTAATGATATGATTAGCTTAGAAGAAAAAGTTAAACTTACTTCCGAAGAAAATATCGGTTTAAAATCTTACATTGAACGTATGAATAGTGAATGCATGGAACTCAATGCTACTTTGTTTGAAGAAGCAAATAGAATGGTAAGTGAAAAGAAACTGGATATATATTGTGATTTTTTTTCGATGGTCATCTGGTTGAAATAGAAAAAGGGTTATTATTAATCACTCAGTTAATGAGCATCGCTTAACGAATAACTTTTGTCAGAAAGGGTGTGTGGAGATTTTAGAAATTTCAAAGATTGAAATCATGAGTCAATTGAAGTTAGACCATTATGGAAAACCTGAAAGCACTGGACGGCCGTTTCGTCCTAGTATGCGACTCCTCAGAAGTGCGCATCCACAAGTCCCTTCTGATAATAATCATCTACTCACTAGTGACTGAATCCAAGAGATACTTCTGGAGTTCTAGTTAGAAGCCGTTAACAATGGAGTTGAACCAGGTCTGTTGTGAGATATCAGCTCACTGAAGACAATGGTATACGGTGGTGCAACTTCGTGGATTGGTCGAAGTTAGACATTAACACCGTTAGATGCCGGCTCAGTGGTCTAATTGGTTAAGCGCTTGGCACGAGACTGATAGGTCGTGGGTTCGAATCTCGCGGGGCGCGGGATCGTGGATGCGCACTGCTGAGGAGTCCCATACTAAGACGAAACGGCCGTCCAGTGGTTCCAGGTTTTCCATGGTGGTCTAGCTTCAATTGACTCATGATTTCAATCCATGGAATAACTTTTGTTTTAAAGGACGTTCTCTCATAACTTAAATATAATTGGTCATAGGTGAGAGTGAATATTTACTTTACTTAAGAAAAGAGAAGTCAATTAAATTGTAAATTTGAACTGAAAGATATAAAATTGATTCATAATTTTATAAAGAGGTTTTAAACAGGACTTTCTGACAATATCTTAAATCAATTATTTGATAAATATTCCTTTGAAGTATACAGACGAATTCATTAATTCGTCATAAAGACCATCTATAATCCATATGTAGTGAAAATAACAAAAGTCATATTTGATGATGCAGACTATTGATTTTGGATTGCGGATAGCTACTACAGAATCGAATAGTTATTAACTACAGTGTACAATTTCGACTCAATAATGAACTATTCCAGTCAAATAGGGATCCCAGTGTTTTGCAATATTAAACTTAAAATGATATTTCCTATTGTAAACTTTTTATTGATCGTCAATTTCAACGACACATTTTAGTCTTGTTCACATAGTTTACTAAGATGATTCATTTATTCTATGGTTTAAACAACGAAATTCATTCCATTTACACTTACACACACAAACATATTACCATATTCGAAAAACCCCATAAATTGCTATGTTTATTATTATTATTACTTTGTATAAAAAATCTAGAACATCATATATAAGCGAACAATATTGTTTTCGATTAAATCCTCATCAGGCTTTATTCTAATATACAGTATATTAGAGTTAAGACTGATGAGCATGTAATCGAAAACAATATTGTTCGCTTATTTATGTTGTTCTAAGTCATGGTATGAAAAATCAACCAAAATGATCTATGAATCAATATCAATGATAACAATCCAGTTGGTGGTGCCAAATGAATATACATTGACACGTATTATATTCGTGATGTGAACAGTGGAGATAAGTGGATAAAATGAATATCAACTTTGATCTTCAGCTTAGATTTCAACTTAAACGATAACGATTAGAACGTTAATAATGCTAAGAAACTAAGTATGTAAATATAAACAACATGACTGAGAATGGTGAAGTCCAACTGAGTTATGAACTAAATGGTAAAGTTGATGACTAAGTATTCATTCACAGTTAAATGAAGAAATTTGCTTCAAAAGCTGTGTAAATACGAAGACTTTTTTTTACCCACGTATTGTGCTTCGTGTAAAAAGCAAGTTCAGGTTTCGTTGGGACAACATACGGAATATAAGAGTTGGTCTTGAGTGATTCAGATTTGCTAATCTCATTTCTATAATCTACTAGGTGTGGCAAAATAGAGTTATGATTTATTCGATCCTTTATGAATCATAAAATAGAGTGCTCAGCGACATTTAGAATAAATTCCTTATTGATGTTGTTTTTCCGCTTAAGCCAATCAGTTTACTGACGTGATTACTGTATTTGGCATCCAGTCGATTGCGTATGCCGATTCCCACATGCCCACACTTCTAACGAGAAAGTTAGAAAGGCAGTTGGGCAGTCACAAGTACCTTTTCTACATTGAATGATAACTCACATGATATTATGTGCAAAATATAAAACTACAAGGCATCGTAAATAATAAATCTTACTATGTATACAACTAGGAAATTTTTGACATAAAGCTGGACAACACAATTATGCTTAATAGACTGGAAATTAAAAACAGGAACAGATATTGAATCAAAAGGTACACTACAATATAAACCTGACCATATAAAAGTGCCGTAAATCAAGTGTTTTGCTTAAAACTAATTGAACATTCGTGAACTGATTTGTCGGAGAATAACTTACCAAATGTTTTATTTTCTTATTTTGTCCTTTCATAACATTTAGTACCGATAATTAATTTGTAAGATAGTAAATAAATTACAAGTCATAAATATATGACAAAATTAAGTAACTTATTTTCGGCCTGAGAAGTTATGGTAAATTGACTGATAAACAATAATTAAATGAAATAATCCAACTGCTACAAATGATGATAATAAGTAGTAATTATGAGTCCAATTACACTGAATAACAGGTAGTTATTACCATTATTCTGACTTATTTTTTAATATATCTAATATGGTATTTAACAGACCAATACACCACGTTTTTTAGTGGGAAAGACATGAGCATTAGTATATAACACCTAAGAACACCTGTGATTGTTGCTTGTTGACACTTTAGAACTCAGTCGTGATGGATCGGGAAAGTAATAGCGGAAATTTTTGCTTTTAATTCGAATGGTTCTACTGATTTGCCATTTTATCAACTCAAAACTAACCATTCAGTTACTCTGTTTATCAAAAGGTCCATGAAGCCTTATCTAAAGAACATTATGCCGTTAGACAAGCCAAAGAGAAAATTCAAGAAAATGAGGTAATCTTATTCATTATATAGTTGGGTTTGAATTTAATATGTATAAATCTTGTAGAAAATTGAACAAATTGGTTAGTAAAAATAAAATATTGAGATACTATGTAGTCGGTAATGCTGACTGACTCATAGCTATCCCTGAAACTAAAAGGATATTATCACTAACCTAAATGACGTGATATCATGATTTGACATTATCATAAAGTTATGGTCCAGTGATCTACAAAATTAACACTTAGTTACTGTGTTGCAATTTTTAGCCTCTCTGAACCTGTTTTCGTTGAAGTGAACAGGAAGTGTCTTTCCTCCTAAAATTGCTGTACAATTAGTTGTTATTCACGGAACACAATTATTGGTGCTTGCCGATCGGAGGGATTTATGCAATTTTCATCCTGCTATCAAAACACCACTCGGAATTAGTCATTTACAATAGATTAAATAGAACAAGAACAAAGATTTATGCAGAATAATATGAATTCATTTTATAAAGGGAACTATGTGTACACAATAAATTAGTTTGTAATTCTGGAAGTGTTAAACTTCAGGGATAGGGAATGTTGAGCAAACTGTATAGAACATTATAGAATGTGCAAAATATGTCTTTAAAAAAGACAGCGAGTTGATAGTTCTGAATGAAATTTGGAATTGATACGGTGCTTTTGGTTAATGAAATTAGAGAAATAAAAAAAATAAATATGGATTTGTTGTAGTACAATAATAATATTCTACTTTGAATTATGAATTATTCTAATAAATATGGTTCCATTCTAGTCTGTTTGTGATCAAAATAAGGCTTGAATTCACCACACAATTCATTACGTCTCAAAATGGTATTCTGTCACCAAAATGAAATCAGTTGTTAATAGGATTTTAATTTTCGGAATTTTATTTTTATAACCACATCGACTATGATATTGATGTGTAAATGTTTTTTCCATATAAATGATGGTTTTAGCTCTACAGATTATTAAGACTTGGTGGCCCAGTATCTGACTCCAGTTTGATCGTAGAAAGACGCTATGAACATAAATCTCCCATTTAATTCCATATATCACCTAGGTTAATCCGATTTGATCAAGTTTGACTCGGTATTTATAGTCAGACCAAAAATAAGTTAAAGACATGTGATGAGTAGGATATACAATAAAGACACATACGCCCATATAAAAACAGTCACGGTTAGTAAGCGAATAATCGACAAGATCAACATGTGACTTGTAGAGATGAATAAATCGGTCCATCCAAAAGCTAGGATAACTTATATGAGCTTGACATAGGACCAGGCACGACAAAAAAACCATATGGTGCTCAAATTGGTTATTTTATTTGAGTTGCGGTGGCAACACTAATATTTATAAGATATCTAAGTACATCAAGTTGATTTCAAAGTAGAATAAGACGTATACTTAAACTTTCACCGTTACTGATCCCCAATTAATGTGAAAATACAATTAAACGTACTAACGATGATATATGAGACGCTAATATTAAGTATCAACATTTAATCATTTCCGTTTTACGAAGCAAACTCTAAGAAAATTTAAAGTAAAAAGCACACAGGAAAACATAAGTTCAACTTCCTCTGAATGTCAATATAATAAAAATAGTTTCATCACCAACGACAGATTATTTATTTATTTATTTAAATCATAAAGTTAAGTGGCTTTATTTTCTTATTGACAAGGTTTAAAATTATACCTCATATTTATACGGTAAATGTGCAAAACATCTCAGTTTATCACAACCAATTGAACTCTAAAATCACAGTCGAATTTTCAATAAAATTTATGTGTGATAATTATAGATACAATTTATTTACAAAAATAAATTATGTTTATATCATTACCATGTCCATATCAATATCTACTTGAGTACAAGCTTGTTATTGTACTGTTATTTAAACAAGTAAAATAGGTCTTCTGCATTGTACTAATGGTTCATTCTGCTTTTCTTTAATTACTTCATATCTCCATATGACATAGATGTTTTTTTCTTTTGAAAATAATTCCAATTATAGATACTTCAATCGGAAGTTCGTGCATTAAAATTATTGGTTGCTGAATTATCATCAAGTATAACAAATCAAAAGATTAAAAACTCTTTATATAGTACAAGGTTAGTTTCTTATTTTCGTTATATATATATACTATGGTATTTGGCATTAACAAAGAGTATCTACAAAGTAGAAATTTTTATGGTGAAACAATAATTTATGGAGATCTTTGAGTGACACTAAAGTGACCTTGAGAATACCCACCTATCAACTAGGAATTAGGGTTATAAACAAAAGTATAACATTCATTTTGTGTTGGTGTCTATGATGCAAATCGTAACGCACATATATATACTAAACTATAGCTTCCTTATGTCTGTAAGCCAAATACTTATAAATTTACTATTTACAATTTTCAATATAAAGGTCAACGCTCTTCCACGATCGATTGTCTTATTTTTTTTTAATAAAAACCTTAATAAACAGTGTTTCTCATCCCATTACAGATTGAGATTAACCTATAAAAATTAAATGATTTGTAGCAAATTGTCACTTGACAATTACAAGAATTAAAATTTTATGATTTTTTTGGTGAAAATACGAGCAGTCAAAACGAACTATATGTAAGTTTGAAACAACTTAAAGAGCAGATTTTATGTGTGTTGTTTTAGCACCGGATGACAACTTGAAGAACGGTCGTTTGAATTCCTATATCACTCTAATTATTTATCAATTTGACATGAATCAAGGTTCAACCAAACGTTTTTTTCATCTTTTTATGAATGTCTAAATGAGTGTTTTTGCACTAGCTGAAAAACTGTTGGAAATAGAAGCAGAGTATGTAACTTTTTCATCATACTCGTAGCCTTTCCATCAGTTCTCATTCATGATTCCATGTAGAATTGAACCCATTGCCTTTATGACTCGAGGCGATCAGTACTTACTTAGACGTCTAACCTAAAGCCAGTAATACACATTCGTAGCTTCAATCAACATGTGATATAGCACTATCCTCTGTCTCATTATCTATGTATATCTTTCCCATACGCAGTTTGATTGTTTTTACTAGTTGTAAATTTCTGTTAAAATGTTCGAAGATTCATCTGGAAGACAGCCACTAAGGAACAATGGGTTATTAACTACAAAAAGTGTTCTGTAAGGGGGTGTGGATAATTTAAAATTGTCACCGTGAACTGATGATCATCTTATGTGAAAATAGAGTAGTATGACAACTTAATATAAGTTAGGAATCCGTACCATTGTGTTTTCCTCATTGTTCTAGGTGTAACATACCACATATCTTGAATAGGATTGATTTGACACTTTTAATATGGAGCTGTGGGTACGGACTGATGAGAAATCGTTTCACTTGTTTGTGATTATTATGTTAGGTGTAAAGTGTATACATCTATTTACTTTTAGTCTAAGCATGTGATAACGAAAAATGAGAATAAACGAAAGTTAGAAGTATAAATCATTGGATCTCAAATCAGTGTTCCAAAAGTAGCATAATTCCTGAAAAGCCTGAAAGTTTAATACTTAGTGGTATATTGGGTTTGTATTATTGAAGCGTTCCATAAAATTCTTTTATTAATAATTATCCAGGTGTCTTGACACTTCCCGACCGTTGCTGCTACCTTGACGTGGTGGTCAGACTTGCCTATCGTAATGAACCAATCGATCTATAATAGCTGGAACAATCGTTTCTCAAGGTCCTATCGAGCCAGACAGGTCGGTTCAAGAGCGGTAAGATTAAAAGCAGCAAAACCAAGGTCCGAAGGCGAAGTCGTACTGCTGACTGCACAAAATTGTGACAGCAGTAAGGAGTTTCCTTCAGCCAATCAGCATAACAGCGATGTTGCTTTCATACAAAGAGGGGTGGAGTTAGAAAAGGTCGACCATAAAAATACACACCTCGCCTTATCACACGGATATCCGTATCCAGTGGTAAGGTCTCTACAAATACGGAACAAACACGAAAATTACTCACAAAATGGTCATGTGTGACCGATTTCATCAGTTGTAACAGGGGCACTGCGGTCACGCTTTCAGGTCTCTAAGAGCTCCAGAAGAACTATTTCACGGTGCGGGAAACCAAAAAGTGATAACTGCCCTCATACTTCCAACACCACTCAAGACCACTGTATTCATATTCAACCTCCCTCTTCAATTCCTATTATTCCTCCTACATCGACTTTCAAATATTTTGACTTCTTCCTCAAGTGTCACCATGGCCAACGATTCTAGTGCGCAAAACACTGTCCCAGGTCTACTGAAACCTCGCTCCAAACTACACATATGAACCCTAAACCTACACACCCTATGTCAAATCGACCAACAGGCCTCCTTGGCTAAAACCCTACAATCTCGTACCATTGATGTATGCTGTGTCTCCGAAACACACATACAGGATCATAGTGTGGTCATTCACTCGACCTCACCTCGCCAAAACAGAGAGCCGATGGCTAGTTCCTATGGTCTGGTGGGTGTAGGCACAGCACTAAGTATGAGGGCAGAACAAACATTATTAGAATGGATCCCTGTTAACAATCACCTATATGCTGTTCAGCTACATGACTTTGTGAGAACTCGGAAGGATGAGGACACATGTCGTTGCCTTTTCGTCGTTTCTGCCTACGCTCACACTCGCTGCAGTCCAGATGAAGTGAAAGATGACTTTTACAGAAAGTTCTCTGAACTTCTTCAGAAAGCTAAACGCTCAGACATAGTACCCGTAGCAAGTGACTTTAATGCTTAAGTAGGCAGTTTAAACCAAACAGAAAGACATTTAGATGGGCATTATAGTGTTCCGGTTCAGCGAACAGATAATGGTGATCGTCTGTTGTTTATATTTAGCAAGCACTAATTTTAAGTATAACTCCGCCTGGAGCCCCTCCGGGGGCTACTGCCGGCCACGAGCCCAGATAAAGCAGGAGGGTTGGGCATGGGGTAAGCGTGCCCATCCCGTAGAAAACTAAATCGCTAAAAAAACGCTAACCAGAAAGAATTATTCAAACCTTTTAAACTCTGCCCCGGGAGTCAGAAGGTCTTCATTTAGAAGAACTATGACGCTTCATGATGAAAGCCGAATTCCTTCAGAAGTTACGAGGCCGATGCCGCTTCTGACAACCAGAGCGACCATTTATTTAGGTACATGGAATGTTCGTACAATGTGGGACACCGGGAGAGCCTTTCAAATTGCTGCAGAAATGAGAAGATACAAGCTGGAGTTGCTTGGGATCAGTGGAACACATTGGACGGAAGTTGGACAACAATGACTAACTTCAGGAGAGCTTCTGCTATACTCCGGCCATGAAGAAGAAAATGCCCCACATACACAAGGAGTTGCATTGATGCTGTCCAAACAAGCACAAAAGGCACTTACAGGATGGGAATCTCATGGACCAAGGATCATCAAAGCCTCCTTCAAAACAAAGAAAGAGGGCATTTCAATGAACATCATCCAGTGCTATGCACCTACCAACGATTAAAATAAAGACGCCAAAGAGCAATTCTACGATAGGCTTCAGTCAATCATCGAGAAGTTCCCAACAAAGGATCTGACCATTCTGATGGGAGATTTCAATGCCAAGGTTGGAATGGAAAACACCGGATATGAAGACATCATGGGACGACATGGACTGGGAGAAATGAACGAAAATGGTGAGAGATTTGCAAACCTATGTGCCTTCAATAAACTGGTCATAGGCGGCACCATATTACCACATAAATGCATACACAAAACCACATGGACTTCACCGGATCAAACCACGTAAAACCAAGTCGACCATATTTGCATCAACAAAACGTTCAGGAGGACTATAGAGAACGTGAGAACCAAGAGAGGAGCTGATGTAGCATCAGATCATCACTTGCTGGTCGCCAAGATGAAATTGAAACTCAAGAAGCACTGGACAATGGGGCGGGCAATATCACAAAAGTTCAATACGGCCTTTCTCCAGAATACTAACAAACTCAACAAATTCATTATACTCCTAAGCAACAGGTTCCAGGCCTTTCATGATCTACTCAATGGAGAAGGAACTACTGTGGAGAGCAACTGGAAGGAGATCAAAGAGGCAATCACTTCAACATGTCATGAGGTCCTGGGTCACAAGAAGCACCATCACAAGGAATGGATCACTGTTGATACACTTGATAAAATTCAAGAAAGGAGGAACAAGAAAGCAGCAATCAATACCAGTCGAACAAGAGCAGAAAAAGCCGAGGCACAAGCTGAATACACAGAAGTAAACAAACAAGTGAAGAGGAGCATCAGAACCGACAAACGTAAATATGTGGAAGATCTAGCAAAGACGGCGGAAAAGGCTGCAAGAGAAGGGAACATGAGACAATTGTATGACACGACAAAGAAACTCTCTGGAAATCGCCGCAAACCAGAACGACCAGTGAAAAGCAAGGAAAGCAAGGTAATCACCAACATTGAAGAGCAACAAAACAGGTGGGTAGAACACTTCAAAGAACTCTTGTATCGACCAGCTCCACTGAACGCACTCAACATCGAAGCAGCACCCACGGACCTCCCAATCAATGTTGGCCCACCAACAATTGAAGAAATCAGCATGGTCATCAGGCAAATTAATAGTGGCAAAGCAGCAGGACCAGACAACATTCCAGCAGAGGCACTAAGAGCAGACGTAGCGGCAACTGCACGGATACTCCACATTCTCTTCAATAAGATTTGGGATGAGGAACAAGTACCAACAGACTGGAAAGAAGGACTCCTGATCAAAATACCGAAGAAAGGCGATCTCAGCAACTGTGATAACTACAGTGGCATCACTCTTCTCTCAATACCGGGAAAAGTCTTCAACAGAGTATTGTTAAACAGGATGAAGGACTTCGTAGACGCCCAACTTCGTGACCAACAGGCAGGATTCCGTAAGGATAGATCGTGTACAGACCAAATCGCAACTCTACGGATCATTGTGGAACAATCAATTGAATGGAATTCATCACTCTCCATCAACTTCATTGACTACGAAAAGGCATTTGATAGCGTGGACAGAACAACACTATGGAAGCTTCTTCGACACTACGGTGTGCCTCAGAAGATAGTCAATATCATACAGAATTCATATGATGGATTACACTGCAAAAT